TGTCATGTTCTTAGGACTTTGATAAAGAATGGGAAGAACAACCTACAAATGAGGAAAATCAACTATTGATTAGACATCTACCTTCTTCCAAGGTGATTATTGAATTATAGTTGTTTATCTTTGATGGCACAAAAGATGCTAATAAGATTGAAAAATGATATGGTACCAATTTAAGAGATTTTCAAAGCCAGTTTTATTCCATTATCCACGAGGAGGAGAAGTGGATCCATGGGTAGCAAGTGAGGTGGAAAAATGATATATCAGTAAGTACAAGCGATGGTTCTTATCCTTGAAAATCTCATTGCATGTGAAATCAATTCGTATGAAATTCATTGTCTTACATAAAAGTCTTCCAAGGGAATTAAAGCTTTTCTAGCACATCCTATTGTTGAGGTTTTTCATTTCTATCACCGCATTAGTAAAACAAAAGTTGATGAAGCTTTAAAAAAAATGTGGAAAAGCATTAGGACCTAATGTTATTTCAATAGAAGCATGAAAGTGTTTAGGAAATTTGGAAATTTTTTGGCTAACCAAATTTTTTAATATTATTTTTTATGAGCTGGTGGTGAGACTTGCAATGCTTTATGACATAGAATGTTGGCCTGTAAAAGAGAGAAGCATAAAAAAGCATAAAATTAAGTGTTGTTGAGATGAGATGCTTAGGTGGATGAGTGGATTTACACATAAAGACAACTAGTTGAGAAATGAGCTCTTAGACCTCAACATCATGGTTAAAAATCTTGTGGTGAAAACTCTTGTTGATACTTGCGGCAACAATAACCTTGTATATTTTGCTTTGGCTAAGAATTTAGGGCTGCTTGTCACATGTCGCCTAAAAACTTTTTCCTTTAGGATGAATTCTGGATGATGTTTGTTGTAGTGGAATATTAATGTAATGTTTTATATTGCTAAGACTTGCATGGATGAGATTTTGTGTGATGTGGTTCAATTGAATGTTTGTTATGCACTTTACAGAATTCCTTATTTATTTGACATGGCTGCGATTTGTAAACAAGAATGGCAAGAAAATTCCTAGTTTGAAATGATTTTTCTGTAAAGGAGTGTGAAACACTACTCTGTTATAATAAAAAGCATGCAGGGAATTCTTAGTGTTTCGTCCATGATCATAACACAGTTAGTAACTGCATAAGAATGATCAATAGTCTCAGGAGCACCACTAATTGCTCCAAGGGAAAAAAAAAACGGAAAATCTGGGAAAGTTCAGCTCCATAGGGTGTTATGAAAAAAAGGTGTTGCCTCAATTCTCTTCTTGCCAGCTTATGAAGAAAAGAAGGGAAACTTGAAGCTCATGAACAGGGAAAAAATTTGCATACATAAGACGTACGCAGAGCTGCGTACGTCTAACCAGAGCTGCGTACGTCTGTAACCTGAAAATAGGTTACATGGAGGATATTTGGAGGTTATAACCGCGTTATAGCCCCTGTAACCTCCCCGTAATTTACATATACCTTCTAGTAAGTTTCGCGTTTCTGTTTTCATATATATAGATAGATTACAGGGAGGTTATAGGGGCTATAACGCGGTTATAACTTCCGAATATCCTCCTTGTAACCTATTTGCAGGTTACAACCTATTTGCAGGTTACAGACATGCAGGTTACAGACATACGCAGCTCTGCATACGTCTTATGTACGCAATTTTTTTCCCATGAACAGGCCCAAACCATAAGAAGATATGATTTTGATCTTTGTTGTAGCAGAAGGTACTTAGATGAGAGAACCTTGATCTTGTTAGGTCTCGAAATTATCAAATTTTTTAATTTTCTAGAGTTATCAAAATTGATTTAGAAGCTCCTGGACAATTCTCAGATGTTATACTACATTCAAAAGAAAACTTGAATAAAATTGATCAAGTTTAAAGCTCCAAACTAGTTTACGAGGATCCGCTCATTACCAGTAGTGTTCATATCTCAATTTTTAAAAGAAGTCATGATACCATCCCCAGGCAAATTAAAGGACCAAAAACATACAAAGATTTTAAGGAGAATTTCGAATGCATTGCTAGTAAATTGAAATACTCTACTGTTTTTATGCTTATCTTCTGACTTTTTAGTTGCTACTTTTGAGGTGTTAGTTTCCATTTTCAAGATTAATTCGAACTTTTCATATTTCTAGACTTTTTAATGAATCCTTATAATTAAAGATAGGTCATAATGATTAAAAACAATTTGGGAATTGTAAGAAAAGTTTATTTTCTTGATCGCAATCCTCTCTTTCCTCTATGCCTGTAAGCATCAGTTCTAGGAGGAATAGAGGCTTCCACTTTCTCTCTCTTTGTTGTTTATATCCAAAGATCAGCCCACTCAAAAGCCATCATAACAATTAGCCATATGCATTTGCAGCAGCTGATCGCAACCTTTTAGCAAAGGGAGCCAAACCTACCTTTTGTTGCTATTCTTCTTGATTTTGATGTACAAAGGAAGTTCAGAGTTAAAAACAAGCACGTGCTAGAAAAAGGTGCCAGTTTTTGTTGAATGGAACACTTTCGATCATAGAGATTGTTCATCAGAAAGCCATAGCCTTCTTATGTTATTATGTTATTATGCTAACATTGGTTGCAGTTTCTTACTTATTAAAGCCCATTATGTATTTTTTAATCTCTCATATCCGGCCCTTTCATTTTATTAGTGGATCCACTTGATAGGACGCCTTAGAAATATTGGGATGTCTTATCTGATCTCGTTTTATTTCTCTTGGTAGTTTTAGGATGGAAAGAACACGTCACTCAACCTTACAGGATAAGTATGTGGCACTTAAGCAAAGCACAATCGAACAATAATCTACAATGCAATATGCAATTTAGTGATCCACTAGTTTGTTGAATAGAAAATTACTTTACAACATATCCTAAATAATATTGGGATGTCTTTAATTAAGTCTTGTTGAGATGAGAATGCTCAGGTGGATGAGTGGTTTTACACTTAGAGATAGAATAGGAAATTAATATGTTCGTGAAAGGGTTGGAGTAGCTCCAGTGGCAGGCAAGATTAGGAGAGTTGCCTTAGATGGTTTGGTCACATTAGACGTCGACAATCCAATGACCTTATTGAGAGAGTAGATGTTTTAGATTTTACATATGCTAAGAAAGGTAGAGGTTGACCTAAAAATACTTGGGCATGTTGACTTGGGCATGTTGTATAAAAAATACTTGGGCATGTTGTATACAAAATGATCTTAATTTGTTAGAATTAAATGAAAATATGGCACTCAATAGGACACAATGGATAAAAAGGATTCATGTATCCAACCACTTAGTGGGATAAAGGCTTGTTGTTGTTATTTGTTGTTGTTGTTGTTGTTGTTGTTGTTGTTGTATCATTTTTAAAGCTTTATATCTCAACATTTTTCATAGCATCACAAAATAGTAAAAACATATAAAAGATACAAGTAAAGGTGCAAAAAGTTAAAAAGAACTTATCAACCAATATATAGTGGTCTGATGTCGTCCCCTCGAGATTTTCATTACTCTCTCATACTCTCCCTTTTTGCTACCGCAAGACGGAGTACCTCTGCCCTTCATGTTTAACAAAGAAGCTCCTCTCTTACTCCAAGCAAAAGCAAGCTTATCTTGCTTGTTAGCTATTAACACGAAGTTTCACAAGATATTTTGACATTCAAAACCTCTCACAAATATAAAACAATAGCTCTCAATACAGTCAAATTTTTCAACATAAGCAACATAAGATGTTATGCTCTCGCACTTTTTCTCTCTAGAAAACTTTATTTCTTTAGGATTTGTCAATGGTGGTTTAATGAGTTTTCCATAGAAACTCTATTCTTTTTGCCCTCTCATTGTCTTTTGCATTTAGGTTTTGATTAAAATTATATATATATTAAATGCTTTGCTAAAACACGTTGATTCTTAAAAGATAACAAAGAAGTTGTTGATGATATAGTACAATAAACTCAAACTAATTTGCATCAAAACTTCTATAAATTCTTTAACCTAATTAGAGTTGATTGTTTGGTACAATATGTAGCATACAGTACGATTAGTTCTAAATTCAAATTAAGCTGATTAAGGCAACTTCTATTATTAATTAGATGGAGATAGTTGTGCTTAAGTGTAATATAATGCATATCATATAGTGCAACTAGTTTAAGTTTTAAATTATTTTAATTAATATAAATTGATTCCTTTGAAATTATGCCAAGACATTGTATTGTTCGATATGATTTTAAGATCAGTTTTCATTATTTACTAAGCCTCCTAAAATTAATAAATATTACATCAATTAAAATTTTGAAATCAAACCTAATCTCAAAGTACGATTCTTGATTGTATTTTGATAAGAACTCTGTGAATTTTCAATTATGGGTGATTGTGCGTATGGTTTATATCCATACAGGATGATTAATTAATCTATTTTAATGATTTTCTACTTGATTTAATTTTTACTTAGTTTTACTTATATCTATATTGGTTATCTTAGTTGTCTTTGCACTTGAAATAAATAATAATATGTGACTCGGAAAGTTACAAAAAATACATATTTTAAATTTTTTAAGCTCGTCTTGTGAAATTCTTAGATAGCATGATTCTTGGGCTGACTTGTGTTGTATTGAGATCATGAGATAGCTTGATAATCTTTAGCCACTAGCTTCTTGTAGTCTTATATATCCTTTTGAGTGTCCGTAACATTTAAATTTATTCTTCCTGTTTGTACTTGAAATGTTAGCACTCAAGTCTGCATGAAACTTACTAAAATTTTGATAGTTCAAACTAAATTATTTTTGTAATCATCAAAATATTTTAATATTAATTCAGGCACGTGAGGTTATAACAAATTTACCATCAAAATGGTGCAATTATTGTTTCTAGGGCTTGTCCCGCCATTGTAATGTGAAGCATTGTTGAGCTTTTTTATTATATTATTATTTAAGTTATAATTTTCATTAGCATAGGATGTACTGGAAGTATGTAGATTATGGTATTCTTGCAGGCGTCCTTCGTATTTATTAGATATTTTCTTATTGCAGTGATGGTGGTTATTTCAATGCAATTATGAGCTTCCCAGCCAACTATCCTAATAGTCCTCCGACGGTAAGGTTTACATCTGCGATGTGGCACCCGAATGGTTAGTTTCCTGCACCTTTGTTTTGACTTGAGAAAAATTCTCTTTAAGAATGATTGCTAACAATATATGCATTTCAGTTTACCCTGATGGCCGTGTTTGTATATCAATTCTTCATGCCCCTGGGGATGATCCTAATGGTTATGAACTTGCAAGCGAACGTTGGACACCAGTACACACGGTAAGTTAGTGGTTCACAATTCTTAAGCTGCATTCATCTATAAGGCTGCATTGGGCATTATGTCGTACAGTTTCTACATTCTTTTGTTTTGGTTTTATTTTGTTTCTCTTTTATCTTTGGTTGTTTGAGCATTGGGATCAATAAATTAGAAATGGCAAAACTAGTTTCCATGTATCTATGGGGGGCAGTAGGCTGACCTAAACATAAAACATTTAGCCAGCTAATGTAATGTGTGAAGCTTCTACTAATGTAGGGTCTAATGGCTAAAATGATTGTATTATGAAAAAAAAAATGAAATAGAGAGTCATTATTTAACATGTAGAATTTGGAAGAAATGTTAATTAAGCGATTGGACTTAAATTAAGATTGAGATCAAGAAAGTAACTTTCAAATTAATATGTAGGCATGAATATTTGTGAAAAAAACTTAGCTCCTACCATGTAGGGTTAATGGTTAAAAAGATTGTGCTTTGAAAAAATAACAAAAAACAAAAACAGGCCGCTATTATTTAAACATGTAGAAATATTAATTTAGTGACTTGAATTCATTATGTTTAAATTTTAAATGGAAACTAAGACCTAAAGTAATATGAAGATATGAATAATTGTTGAAATAAAAACAAGCTCTTACTAATGTAGGGTCTGATGGTTAAAAAGATTGTGCTATGAAGAAAAATAAAATAGGCTATCATTATTTTAACATGTAGAATTTGGAAGAATATTACTTAAGCGATTTGACTTAATTATGATTGAATTTGAGTAAGGAAAGTAACATTTAAATTAATATGAAGATATGGATATTTTTGGAAAAATAAACTCTTACTAAAGTAAGTTCTTATGGTTAAAAGGATTATGCACTATGGAAGAAAACAAAATAGGCTTTCATTATTTGAGCATATAGAATTTTGAAGATATTTGAAGTGATTGAACTTATCTAAGATTGAGTTTTAATAATGAAAGTAACATTGAAAGTAATATGAAAAAAAAATGATTATTTGTGGAAAATTTTAAAGATGTGATTCATTAAATTAAGATTGTTGTTTTATGTTTTAAGCTTTTCTAGTTGATCTTTTTATTATTATTATTTTTTTTTTTTTACAGTTATGGCTGCAAAATGCCTCTTAAAAACTTCATTTTTTTACTTTTTTTTTTGGGAACCTTTTAGCATTTTTGCTTATGCTTTAATGATATTAGGTTCAGATATTCTTATATTCATCAGGCAATTGATCCTTATAATTAATAAATTGCAAAAGTTGTTCTTTTTATATAGATTTTGTTGCAGCGTCAACACTTAAAAATATTGAGAAAGAACCATCAATTTTATTGTGGCAAAGTTCATCTGCTCAACAATTTGTGAATTACGCATTGCCTTTCCAATTGAAAAATACCTTTGTATTCCTCCTATCAAATATAGGAACATAATCCTTAATTTAATAATATTATTTTGAACTTTTTTTGAATCATGGCTAATTGGATGCACTTTAAAAGGAGATTAATTAAGCCATGTAAAGTGGATGGTTTTTTAACTTGTTTCTTTTTTTCCCTGCGCAAGCATTCATTAACAAGTAGCATTGATGCAATGTAGTATTTTAATTTTATCTTTTTACTGTGGAGGCATTTTTTCCCTTTTGTGAGAGACCACTTTTTCCACTCTATGCAAGGATTTGACATCTCCCATTGGCCCATCAATTTGCTTTTTAGCCTATTATATAATTTGACATTTGTAGTAGGTCTTAATTTTCTTGTGACATAGAATGCAAGATTTTATAAGTTTTTATTTTATTTGTCTTTGTTACCCAATCATTCTTTAACAATTGGTATTGTTGCATTGCAATTTTTTTTTTCTTTTCACCACGGAGGCTCTTTTCCTTTTTGGCTGATCTCTATTCCCACATTTAGTTTAATTTTAAGACAACACGATTTGTGCAAGCATTTGAAATCATCATTTATGCACTTTTATTTCATTTTTTTCATATATTTATTTCATTTAGTGGTTACATATCATTTGTATTTTTGTTGGAAAACATGGATACTAGTGTTTTTACCTTTCAAATTATACAACAATTCTTTTGTGTCCTTTCTTAATATTAGTGATAATCATAAAATGATCTTTTTCATAAACCTTGCCATATTTTGTTATTCTAGAAGATATGTCATGTTCATTTAATTGTAATGTTAAATTAAGCTTTGGGATGTTTATATCTAGAGATGTTTTATTTTCATATGCTCATCTTCTATCGTATTCTGCTACTCTAGCTTACCTTGATATTTTTAATTATGAGATTGAGATTAGCATACTCAAAACACAAATCATAATGTGATGTATAGGTTTCCCCCCTCCCCTCAAAATGTGCAAAGAGTAAAACAAAATGACATTTTTGCTAACCAAACTTAAACTATAAATATATTATGTGTGTATATGGTAATTTTACACGTGCTGATTTCGATGCCGTAATTTGAGCAATGCTCATTAAAGCATAGCGACCAACAGCATATCACATCTAACAAGGTCAATTTGTCATTAAGACAGACTAGATAATGCACATGCAAAATGCAAAGTGACTTAGCATACCATGATCACTCTATCGAGGTGTGAGCGATCACAAAAAAGTTATGCCGAAAAATAATAATTTTTAGCAAATATATTGATGCATGTTATAGCATCTCCATTAAAAAGAATTTCTTTGAGTGCCTTGAGTTTAAAATAAACGATTAATTGTATAATTATGGAATAGTAATTCTCTTACATGCTTGGTATTCTAGTGGACTAGGATGTGGTCCTCTTCAACTAAAAAGTTTTTGGTTGACAAGTCACAATTGATTTGACATTTCGATTTGGAATTATTTAATTTAAAATCAAGTTGATCAAATCATAAATCATAACAAAAATAAAGGAGTAGAATGATTCAATAGCCACAAAAGGAAGGACTTGATGATATAAAAGACTAGAGTGATGACAGAATATTTAAAAATGAAGGATAGCTATTAGACCAAAGAGTAAAGCGCTCATGTCTGTGTGAGAAGTTGATGCTTGGATGGGAGATTCATAGTCAACCTCCTAATGTCATGACGTGAATACACAAGATGCTAAAATGGATTTGGAAAGGTTTTAGGATATTTTTAGATGATTCCTATTATTATACTAGTTAATTAAATGTACCTCAAGCATTTTTTTATGTATGAATGAGTTTTTCCTCTCATATCTTCTTTCTTGCTAAAAGGGTCAGGAACCTCTGTTTTGGACTCTTTATTGTATTGCAAAAACTTACCCTACTATTGACTTCGCCTTTAACACACCAATGGTGGTTTGTTGGTTTTCTTGGCGGGTTAGCTGGAAACACCATACGGGGTTTGCTGCTTTCAGCCCTAGAAAGCGTTTGGGTGTTAATTCCAACTTCTATTTTTCAAAACAACAAAGCAACTGTGCAAACAACAATCTGAGGAATAACGATAGCCAAGAAGCACCAGCTGTCCTGCAGAAACGGAATAAAATTAAAATTTGGCAGTGCAAACGGATGTTTTAAAGGAGGGGCTGCAATATGGAGGGGCTGCAATATCAATATTCTGGATGTTGTCTTGCAACTGTACCGGAAGCATAAAAATGTTTTTTTTTTTTTTTTTTTTTTTTGTTTCCAACGGTGTCTTGGTGACTGGGAGTGTTGCAAGGGAGGTTGGTTGGAAGAGAAATAATAAGGGAATGAAGAACTTTTAGACTAAGTTTTCGATTTTTTTTTCTCATTGATTTCTATATAATTTCTAGTCAGTTAATAAGAACCTTATTTTGGTGACTGTTCTGATTTAATCCCTTAATAAATTGACAAGGAAAGGAAAACCTTAGCAGCTAATAATTGATTAGATAAATTCTAACTAAATGATAATTTCTGCATGAATTAAAAGCCAAAAACAATCAACAAAATCTGTTCAAATTAAATTATAATTTCTGTAGGAATTAAAATGATTTCAATTTAAATTTAAATTCTTATCGACAAAATTCAAATTTATCATTACCCTATTGTAATATAAATTTTGATCCAATGCCCATCTTTTAAAACCATAATTCTCTTTTATGATGTGTGATTGTCAACCTGATCATTAATATCTGTGGATTTTTGTTAACATCCCCTTTGATCTTAATCTTGTGATTTGAGAGTCATCACTATTAGCATTTTTTTATAAAGAAATCAAACATTTAAAACTACAATGAATATGATCTCATTGATTTTTCCATGATCTAATGCCCGAGAAAAGGTCTTGTAGTTCAGATTGACATTTTTCTTGATGATCTGACCCCAAACAACTGAGCAAGGATTGTTGGTGAAGCCTGCGTGAACTGGCAAAGAACTAAACAACTTGTCTTGGGAGGCAACGAAGCAATGTGCCAAGAGCTAGTGTGAGGAAAGGGATAGATCTATAGAATTTAGAGTTTCTTTCATGCATGACCTAACTTTTTATATAACACTTGAATTGCTATTTTGGGTGAGCTGTTGCTACATATAAACTGTGAGTTGGTTGGATTCCTAAGGTTCTGTTTGGCGCAGTTGCAGCTGCGCTGTCCCAGGAAACTACTGCGGTGAAGTTGGTTGTTTGTTTGTTGCAGCTGTGTGAGAACCGTTGTGGGGTAGTTGTTTCTGAAAAAATGTCAATTTTGTCCCTGTTTAGTGAAGTTGTTTAAAAAATAACTATGACAGCGACATATTTGATAATTCAGAAGCAGAAATTCAAGTTTGTTAGTTTTATGCAATCGACTCAATAGATTATACTCTTCCTAAACATGCATTGGCAGGAACTCCATGTACTGGTTATGGCTTGGACATAGTATGACTTTCATAAATATAAAGAACAAAAAGCTGAAAATTTCACGAACTAGTAGGGGTGAAAACTAGCAGGCTTGTGAAGCATGTATCGGTAATCACAAATTCTACAAGGATCCAGCAGATTAATTTTCAATCAAGAAGCATACGAAAAGCAATCATCACAGGCCTCCTCACAACCATGGTTAAAAAAAATAACAGAGCGAGAAAATCAAATATCAAACACTAGAAACTTAAATCAAAAAACATATTTGTCTTAAATTTCATTTCATTGTTAGAACGAAGCAAGAATTATGGACAAAATTGTCAGCAGCCCGTAAGAAAAAACGTCATCACCGAAGAATCAGAAGTACCATTAACCAACTTCTGCAGGTACCAAGAAGAAATTATACGAAAAGATACTCGAGATCCTCAAAACCATAATTCTCCAAGCACAGCAACCGTAAACATAATCAACAACAACTTAACAGACATGAAAAGCAGGTATACGACAAAGATTAGATAACAAGAATCAACATCTTTCCACTCCCAAACCTCGAAAAGCAATCTCGTTCATCTCATCCCGAATCAGATTCTGGCAATAGAAAAGCCAAAAAAACACAAATTTTCAGAAAGTTTGATTCCGCTGGATAATCGACGAAAGATAACTTCAATTCTGATAAAAAAATATGTATTTCGCTCCCGCTCTCTCCAAAACCATCGCCTTCGCGCTGCAGCCGGGATCCTGTGGGCGGAAGCGTAAAAAGCCGAAGGTTGAAGCTGGGCCACGAGAGAGGAGGGGTGTTCCGCATTCGAGGTACATTGCGGCAGGCCGCGGCGGCACCGCGCCGCG